AAATAGAATTCTACCAACTTTTGCAATCAGAGATTGCTCGAACATGCAATCAAGATGTGATAATAATAAAGGGTGAATGGAAAAGTTGGGAGTAGAGAAGAAGGATCAGCTATTGGAAAACATGGAATTGGTGACAGAAACGAAAGCAGAGATAGAATTACAGAATTTTGCAAAATCAATGTAAATATTCATTGTAAATATATTTTACAAGAAGCATAAACACAGGCTATTCCTATGAATTTCACTGGATGGTATGCACAGGCATCAGATTGATTACATCTGTGGAGATAATCACTGGAGAAGCTCACTATCAGCTGTGAAAACTAGGCTAGGAATTGACTGTGGAACAAACCACAAACTACTCATATGCAAGTTCAAGCTGAAGCTGAGGAAAATTAAATCAAGTCCACAGAAACCAAAATTTGACCTTGAGTCCATCCCATATGAATTTCAAAACCATCTCAGGAACAAATCTGAAGCCTTAATAAGCAAAGACCAGAGGAGCTGTGGGAGGATATCAAGAATATCATCTAGGAAGAATGCAAAAGGTCATTACAAAGACAGAGGAAGAAGAAAAGACCAAAATGGATGTCAGAAGAAACTCTAAATATTGCACTGGAGAGCCAAGTAGCCAAAGCAAAGAGAAGAAATCAAGATATTAAGGAGCTGAACAGAAGATTTGAGAGAGCAGCGCAGGAAGACAAAGTATTACAATAAAATGTGCAAGGAGCTGGAGTCAGAAAATCAAAAGGACTGAACTCCCTCAGCTTTTCTTAAGCTGAAGGAACTGAAGAACAAATTCAAATCTCAAGTTGAAATACTTCAGGATGCTTTGGACAGAATACTAAATGATCCAGGAAGCATTAAAAGAAGATGAAAACAGTATACAGAGTCAATGTACCAAAAGGAATTGGTGGACACAAAAGAATTTCATGAAACAACATATGAACAAGAGCCTGTGGTGATGAAAAAAGGTTCAAGCTGCTCTGAAAGAATTGGCAAAAAACAAGGCCCCAGGAATTGATGGCATACCGAATGACATATTTCAACAAACAGATGTTGCCCTGGATGTGCTTGCCAAGTTGTGCCAACAAATCTGGAGGATAACCACCTGAATAACTGACCAGAGGAGAACTATATTTGTTCATATTCCAAAGAAAAGTAGGACCCAACAGTGTGGAAATTATTGAAAAGTATCATTGATAACACATGCAAGCAATATTCTGCTGAAGATTATCCAAAAACAGCTGGAACAGCACATCAACAGAGAACTGCCTGAAGTGCAGGCTGAATTTAGAAGAGGCCATGGCACTAGGGATATTATAACTAATGTCAGATGGATCTTGGCTGATAGCAGAGAGTACCACAGGAATGTCTACCTGTGTTTCATTGAGCGTTCAAAGGCATTTGACTGTGTGGATCACAATAAACCATGACTGACTCTGGGAAGAATGAGAATCCCAGAACACTTGATTGTGCTTTTGTGAAACCTATGCATTGACCAGAAGACAGTAATCAGAACAAAGCAAGGAAACACTGCATGGTTCAAAATTGAGAAGGGTGTGCATCAAGGATGTGTCCTATCTCCAGATCTTTTCAGTCTATATGTGAAACTGATTATTCAGGAGCCTGGACTCTACGAGGAGAAGTGTAGCATCAGGATTTGAGGTAGACCCATCAACAATCTGTGTTGCACAGATGACACAACCCTGCTTGCTGAAACTGAGGAGGACCTGAAGCACTTTCTGCAGAGGGTCAAGGATTGCAGACTTCAATATGGATTGAAGCTCAACATCAAGAAACAGAATCGCACCACTGGGCCAATCAGCAGCATCATGACAGATGGTGAAGGGACTGATATTGTTGAAAGCTTCAGTTTGCTTGGCTCTACAATCAACATTCTCAGTACCAACAGCCAGGAAATTAAAAGACGAATTGCACTGGGAAAGTCAGTTGTCAGAGACCTCTCCAAAGTACTGAAGAGCAACGATGTCAATCTGGAGAGTAAGGTGAACCTGATACAGGTCATGGTCTTTGCAATTACTTGCTATGCATCAGAGAGCTAGACAATGATTAGGGATGATTGGAGAGTTGATGCCTTTGAGCTGTGGTGCTGGAGAAGAGTACTGAATATACCATAGACTGCTAGGAGAACAAACAAGTTTGTCCTGGAGAAGGTGAAGCCAGGCTGCTCCTTGGAGATGAGGATTCTGGAGCATGGTCTGAGATACTCCGGACATGTTGAAAGGCAGGATCAATCCTTGGAAAGGAATGCCATTCTTGGGAGAGTGGAGGGACACCACAGGATAGGAAGACCCTTGATGAAATAATTTGATTCAGTCACTGGAGTAATGGCGATAGGTGTGTTGGAGACAATAAGATAGGCAAGGGATAGAGCAGGGTTTAGGGCTGTTGTACATGGGGTCATTATGAGTTGTAGGTGACTCAACGACACATAACAACAACAAAAACAAGCATTATTCTTACCCTTATTCTAGAAGAGAAGAAACTAAGACTTTAAAATGTTAAGCAGCAGGGAGCTAAAGGCATCAAGTGATTGTGTTGTGGGGTTGGAATTCAACTCCAGAACTGTTAGGATTTACCACCAGTAACATGCCACCTCCTTACAAGGCTCGATTCATTTTAGGATCAAGTAAGCTGAAATAATGACCCAAGAATCTCTGCTAGAAATCTGCTACTTTCTATCTAGCTAGACCAAAATCCCCAAACTGTTTCTTTCTGATATTTTTAGCATATAAGTTAAAAATATAAAGTCTATTAAATTCCATGCTTGTACCTCACTGCTCAGTTAGATGCTCACTAATTTTTCTATCCACATTTGCTCCACAGATAAAAATCAGAACATAAAATTCACAGCAAAATTCTAGAACAAGTCCATCTATTTCAGAATACTGACTTTGGACTAACTACTGATTTCTTAATGAGCCTGGCACGATACTCAGTATTTAGCAATACCATCTCCTGTGACCCTCATAACAAAGTTCTAACTTCCATTTCTGTTGTTATTAGCTAACATCAAATTGGCCCCTTATGCATAGTGACTCCCTGCACACTGGAACAAAATGCTGCCTGGTCCTGTACCATCCCCATGATGGTCTGTGGATTAAACCATCGTGATTCATAAGGTGTCTGCTGGCTGACTTTCAGAAGGAGATAGCCAGGTTTATTACCCCCTCAGCCTTTCTAATTTAGAAACTACTGAAAATTGTCCAGTCTATGTACCACTGAAACTCATGAAACACAGTAACATGCAAACGTCCACTGGCAGATCAGTGGTGACTGCATGGGAGATGTATTGGCCAGTAGCACACAGCTTAGAGAACCTAGCAAACTTTGCCAACCTCATGTAGCTGGTAAATAATAGAAGCAAGATTTCAATCAGCTCTGCTTGACTGCTACTCTCCTACACTCTACTACCCCTTTAGAGCAAGGCAATCATATGAGCCACAGGATCACTCCCTATTCCTCACAGACTGGAATTCCTCAAGATAAAATCATGAAGGATATAAACACACACTAGCTGACCAGGGGCAAAGAAACATTCATTATCCTCAAAGATATCCAACAGTGAGACGTACAAATATGAAACAGCAAAATTCCAGTTAGTAATTGTCAGGTAGGCAAGTCAAGAATAACAATAACAATTTACAATACTTTCAGAGCACATTACATCTTTGCCAACTGTTTCTGACCTTCAGATTGACATAGATATTCATCTTATCTCCTTTACTTGTCCAACCTAGAAAAAGATTGAGAGGCTCACTGAAGCACATCAGCAAATGGGCAGAAAGAAAGCACATCAGCAAATGGGCAGAAAGAGCTTACCTGTAAGGCAGGTAGTAAGAGGGCCAAACAGGGCATCCAAAGTGTGGATGCTGGGCTATCTCTGAGTACCACCCCCTCCCCACCCCCCTTGTAGCACAGAGAGGGGCACATGGTAGACTTGGGGACAATGTCTACTGAGGAGACAAGTGAGTAAAGTGCTGTGATCTTAGGCCTCAAAAATGGTTCTCACCTTTTCTACAATTGTCCATTTTCAGAACATAGCTCAGAAATGATCTATTATTCTCTGTCTCACTTTCTTACACATTATCCAAACTAATTCGATGTCCACCTTCCCCTTTGGGAAAATCAAAGGTTGACATGGCTATCTTTTGAACTGAAGCTGTTCAGGCTCCCTTTCTTGTTTTCAAAAAGTTTCACTGATTTTGAAAGGTCTTATTGATAAAACTCTGAGAAACTCAGGGGAAAAGGACAAAGAGAAGGAAGAAGAAAGAAAAAGAATAAAGAGGCCAGAAAAAAAAGGGAAAGAAGAGCACCCAGGAGGAGCAGAGAGTGGCAAAAGGCTATGGGCCGCATAATTGCCAGCAGTCTTAGAAGCCAGATCATGTAACAATCATGGAACACTATTTTTTTTAAACAAAGGGGAAAATATTTACATAAATTCCAAAGGATACATGCTCTCTGTTAAATGCTGGAAAATGACAATGTATTCAATTCATTAATTCATGAATTAGTCTAAGTGATGCTTACTGCTTGTGTTATTAGCATTTCTGAGGTGAATATTTAAGAGAATAAGGAAGAAATTTAAGAACTAAAGATAGAAGTGCGATTTTGAGGTTTTTTTTTTTCTATTTTATCTTTGTTACTGCATTTTGGGTGTATCAGTACAGTCAGAGAAACAGAGTTTAACAGACAAAGGGGCAGAAATGGGGGACATAAAACACTTCAGTTGCTCTTGATGCTCGCTGCCTCCAACGTAGGCATACAAGTCACATGCATTTTAAGCAGTTTAAAACAAAGTCATGTTTGAAAGTCACATGAATTTTAAACATATTTCTAATTGTGCTTATAAATGAGAGCTTCAAAAGCAGATATGTTACAATAAACATAAATTAAGAGTAAATTAGGCCTTAATGATGTTTAGCGAGTTTTATGTCCTAATTAAAAGCAGAATCACAACAATAAACATGACTTACCACCAGCATTAACTCGGCCACAATTGTCTACTCTTCCCAGACATTCCTTGTGCGCTCTTGCACCACACTTGAAACATAAATAGCCTTGATAAAATGTTCCTCTGAAAGGTAAAATTAGAGAATGATACATCAAAAAGATGCTAAATTGGGTCTATATGAAATCACTGGCACCAGAGGAACAAAAGGGTCGCTGGGATCCAACGTGGAGGGAAAGGGCCTTTCTGGAGGTTCTAAAGCATTCGATCAGGTTCAGTGCCCACAGAGTTCAGTTGGATGTAGACTGTTAAGGCAAGCTCTCCACTTCAGAGCACTTTGTCAGGGATATTAAAAAAAGAAAGAAGAAAAGCCTGAAAGGGCTAGGAATTTCAACAGGCCCTTTACACCGTTACACTGAAGAGAAGGACCCAGCAAGGGTACATACCTCAAGAGCATCTGGCAGACTTTGCAGGCCGTAACCCGAGTGAAGGTGTGCATCTTGAAGTCATGGAAATTGGAGTCAGCATAGTCAGGCCTTATATTGGATCTGTAAAAAAGGAAAAAATAAAATTTGACCATGAAGTAGCCATCTTGTCATCTAAAAGTAAATTCAACAGAACAGCACTAACTAGAGGTCTAATTTGAGGAGAAGGGCCATTAAATAATGCAAAATCCAAAGGACGTCACTTCAGTAAAACAGGCTTCCAAGAGCTGGTTGTGTGCATACCAGTGACAGGTAAGAACCAAACAGAAAAAAACAGTATTGCAACCATAATGGAGAACGCAGAACTGCTCTGTAGGTTTTTAAAGACTGCAAATCTTTATCAAAGTGGGCTTCTACTTCCTTCTCCCTCAGAATGGCTGGTGGACTGAAGCTTCTCTATCGACATCCCAACATTTAATTCTCTACTCTACCAGGGGAACACATACATGAGGACAGAAGCAACCTAATCCTCTTTGGAAATGAGTGATCTTAGAGAACTCCACAGTATGGCCATGCAAATGAACTTACTAGAAGAACAAGCACTGACCAAATATTCCTGCTGTGGTGGCCACTTCTATTCTCTAACTTTATCCTGAAATATAAACTAGCTGGTGAGGAGGAGAGGGAATAGGAGATAGATCTGAATCCCTACAGAGATCAATATGGCCTATGTCATAATCTCAAAAATGAATAAAATCATTACATAGGAAGTTTCAAGCAAATGATAAGCAAACAAAAAGTAATTTAAAAACTACTTATTCATTTCCCTTACAACCCAAATAAGAACAAATTTACTTTATTATTTAAATGGTATTCCATCTTGCTTGGATTTACAGTCAATGCTCTTGGTACCAGCAGTCAAGAGATCAGGAAATGTACAGCATCAGGAAATTCTGCTGTCAGGGATCTCACCAAAGTCCTGAAGAGCAATGATGTCAGTTTCAAAACTAATGTGTGCCTGATTCAAGTCACAGTCTTTGCAATCACAAATCTCCACTATGCACTTGAGAGCTGGACAACGAATAAGGATGAGAGAAGAATTGATGCCTTTGAGTTGCAGTGTTGGAGAAGAATACTCACTAGCCCACGTATAGCCACAAAAACAGCTATATCTTGGAGAAAGTGCAACCAGAATGTTTTTACAGGCAAATATGGTGAAGTTCCATCTCACGTATTTTAGACTTGTTAGGAAAGGCGATTCCTTGGACACAGACATCATCCTTGGAAAGGTGGAGGGTCAGCAAAGAAAAGAGAGTCTCAACAAGATAGATAGTATCTGCAGCAATGGACTCAAACGTGTCAAGGAAAAGGACAGTGCAAAATATGACAGAATTTTGATCTACTGTTCAGAGAGTCACTATGAGTTCTAATCAACAGCAATTGTGTATTTTATTTATATGGCATACTTTATTCCTTTAAACACATGTTGTTGTTATGTGCCGTCGAGTCACTTGCGACTCATAGCGACCCTATGTACAACAGCCCTAAACTCCGCTCTGTTCTGTGCTAATCGCACTGTCTCTGACACTTCCATCCCAATTATCCCAGTCACTGAATCAATCGACCTCATAGAGGGCCTGCCTCTCCTGCACTGTCCCTCCACCCTACCAAGCATGATGTCCCTCTCCAAGGACCGGTCTCTCCTCACAACATGTCCAAAGTATGTTAGACGGAG